TATATCTTATCAATGAGTCATCATTAAATTATTTCAACTTGAATGATGATTGTCAATTGAATTCTAATATGCATGTTCATTCTTTCTGTCTAGTCTAATAATTGTGAGCAACAAAGATATTTCCTAGATCCATAGAAATAGTTCGCATGTTGGCTACTTTTTGCTCGTTCGTCAAGCCTGTAACATACAACACTGGAAATGCTTCCAAACGGGATAGTTAATTAGAGAGAAGAGTTTTTAAAGATTATCTGTTTTCAATTTATATGATTTCTGTATTTGTTAGTTTTTTTTTCTCGAAATAATATGGTTATGTATTAGCATATAACCATCATTATAATGCAATATCAAAAAACCTAGATAAAAACCATGACAGACTGTCGAAAAAGAAAATTGTTTGAATATTAGAAAATATTAGTAATAAATCAAGTCACAGAAATGATTTTCTTTATCTTGACATTAATTTATTCTATTAAACTAAAAATATTTTACTATCATTTCATTTAAATATCATTCGCAACAAAACAAACTTCATAGTGAGATAAAAATTATATGATTCATGTTCACTTTAACCATATCATAGAACAGACGAGAAAAATTGCTTCGAAGAACTATTGATTCTGAGCCGATTTCAATGAAAAAAAAGATATTGGACTTTGCCCATGTTTAGTATGAATATAGAGTATTCATGTCTGTAACAAGAATACTTTTACCTACATCTGACATTAAAGCAGTTTGTACGAAATGATTGTAATCGCTTTAACAGAAAGGTGCTGATATAGATGAATATGAAGAATTTTTCATATTATTTCAATCAGTAATCATACTCAAACTCGCATATATCCTCTACTATTCGTTCATATCTGATGTAGATACGAAAAATATTCTTTATGAATAATAGCAATGTAGTCATATATTAAACAACCATTTCATTACTCGTACACAAGTTGATTTTTCTCAATAAAAAAAGGTACAATCGATATTCATATATAGTTTATTAAAGCGAGTTTCATTTTTTTGTTGTATTCCTAACTAAATGAAAAAAAAGAAAATATCAAGTCATTATGTTTTTCATGAAATATGATTTTTAATGATTAAATTTATTTTCAATGTCATTCTTTTTCTTGTTCAACGCCATCTTAACTTGTTTTTGTTAACAGCCATATTTTACGCTCTCCCGCTGTTGATGACGTTGTTGGAGAAAATCCAACATTTTGAAATGTTCCGATAATATGTGCTGGTGGATCAATACATTGAACACCTAGTTCATGATTACATAATTTTTCATTTGAACATGATTCTTGTAAAACTCGAATAAGTTCTGGATGAATATTGTAACTTGAAACACCCGTACTATGAACAATCGTCGGTCCTGAATTTTCTTCAGGTATCTTACATGAAACTGCTAATGTTGTATAAAGTGGTAAAGACATGTTCGTTGTTGCTTTAAATATTTAATTAGTTGAACCTTGAAAAGAAAAGTATACGAAATCAATTATATATTTTTACGTGTTAGTGTACCTAGATCAAATATGAAATCTAAAATATTTGAGTAAAAATACAAAAGAAACAAATATTTTTAGACTAATTCTTTTTTTTTAGAATCGAGAAATCTGCTTTCATGCATCCAATAATGCCTTTAATTATTATGTCTACAGTAAATAATGATGGTAAACTATCATAATTTCATTTTTATAGTGAAAGATGATTTTGATTAAGTACATTATTTGCAGCTCAATGTTTCAGATTTCAATCAGACATTACCGAACATATCTGAGAACAATTAAAGATAAATTGTTGAAAATATAGTTCTCACGTTTTCTTTATGCAGAAAACTAAGACCTTTATGAGGTATATATAGAATCAAGATTTTTAATTTAAAAAGGTTTTAGCCGTCGGACTGAAACTAGCGCCGAAATTTAGAAACAAGATTAAGATATGTATATGAATTATCGTACTAGATTTTTATTATATTTCCACTGTGAAGTGAATCATGACCGAATGGCAAGTGATTATTTCAAGTACGTAGGAGCGCATTTATATTGTAATTTTTTTTCTTAATTTCACGAAAAAATACTTCCTTAACTGTCTATGATTTTCAGAAACAGAGACGATCGCAAATAGATTATACAAAATTTAAGTTGTCTCAAAGGGAATATTCAATTAGAAAATGATAATACACTAGAACGAAGAAAATTGTCGAATAACGGTTTGAGTTTTATTCTTTATCATCTAAATCTATGTCAAATAAAAATTTTTTGTAAAAAGTTTCTCTCTGATAGATGTTGATTAGATATATGTAAGAAGAGTTTTAGTCTTTCAGGTCTTAAAAAAAGGAAGGAGAGAACACAGTAGTGGTCGAAAACCTGATCGACGGCGACTTTTATTACTGCAAATGGAAAATGGCATTTGGATCAAATATCCAGCTTTCTTCATGGCGTGAAACACTAGTATTGTAGTATGAATATTTATTTATCTAAGGCAAAATACATGAAGCATATGATAGGAAAAAGTGTTTGAAGAGAACAGAAAAATGGGCTAAATCTTATCATACACACATATACAGATATACATATATGCAATGGCGATGGAACAATAAGAGAAAAATAAAGAAACAGTTTGATTCAGAGATAAAATAATATCTAAGAATAGAAGAAGCCCTTGAAGAGAATAGAAAAAAATGGTCTAAACCTAATCTCATCAATATATATATATATATATGTCCCAATATAGCGATAATGCAACAACAAAACAACAGCAGAGAAACAATTTGTTTCAGGGGACAAAAAATATTTACGCATGGAAAAAGTACTTGGAGAAAACAGAAAAATTTCTCCAATCTAACCGCATATACATGCATACCCATATATATATATAATGATGATGGATCGATGAGATACCAACGAAGAAATGGTTTCTTTCGGAGAAAAACTCGTTTTTTAATGATTGGTATAAGGAAGAAATAGACGTAACCAATGTCTTATTGAAAGTCGTTTTGATTTTTTTTCTAAAAATAGTTGGTTAAATATTCTCCGAAGAAAGCAAGTCAATTTTTGTTATAGAGGATTATTTATTTGTATACTCGTCGTTGTTTTCACTTATTTGACGAATTGAAATGAATAGAGGGAATCAGAATTGGTGAATTAAGAATGTATTGGCTTCTAAATTGATTGAAATTTGTAAATTTCCATTTTTGTATGAAAACAACAAGGAGAAAGAAAATACATTATAACATATTTCACGCTCCAATAAATTTATTAGTTACAAAAACTATTTAGTCGATTTCAAGAGAGTTATTCTTTAGTTTCTAAGTAAAAAGTCATTTCAAGCATTTATTTTTCATCCATCTGGACAGATCATATTGATCATTTCGGTATTTTTTTGGGAATAGAACACTCACGCCTATGACTGCAGAAGTCAATTATGAACTTTATATGATAGACAACATAATTGAACGCGATGATTAAAATGTGCAAGTATTCACATATTTTATCTTAAATTAAACGTTATGGTAGCTATTTGATACATTGTTTGGTTTCTTAAGTTATTTTCTTTTCAATAGCTGCAGTTTCAGACGATTTTATAATGATTATTTTCATGTATTAAGCGTCTGGCTATATGGCTGACGCCTGATTGGAATACTCAATTATTTGACTGCTTGATAATGACGTGATATCTACTGCTTCTTTTGTCACACATTGATACTAGCAAATACATGCCATTTAAAAACGTTACAATCATCATTCGGCTTATTCAGAATATTGACACGTATTTTGATAATGATATACAACCAAAGAATGATAATATAGCGTGATGCTTTAAAGAAAAAAGTAAGGCTTAATGCAACAAGTGGGACTTATCGACTTGCTTTGGGGTGTGGGATGTGGGTGCGCGTGTAGATAAAGAGAACACCCACATCTATGCCCACACCCACACCCATAATCATCAACAACATGAATCGTATACAATTATACAAACTCAAAGATCATTAAATTTCAACAGCTAATACTTCAAGAAGAAAGAACCATTTTCTGTAAGGTCATATAAAGTTACTCTAAGTTTTCTAACATTACCGATAGAGTTAGTTTATCGTATATTCGATCGAATATCTGTAAACGCATGATTACAATCATGCATTGCTATCATCTATATCAAGTAAACACTCCTCTTTTTTCCATAACATGATATATCTCATGTCAATCTTCATTTTATTAATAAGAACTTCTAAAAATAGTTCGAACTAATTTTTATGAAATATATATACGTATATTTAGGACATTGGTTACACTCGTATTTTTAATCTAGATACTGATTATACTAGACCGCTCTGGCAAACAAATCGATATTGAAGGTGCACAATATCTTGCTCACGCTCGTCAACACAATCGAATAACCATTAATCTACCTCTCACATTCATATGCTAACACTTTTCACATAGACACTAATCACGTTAGATTTCTCCTGCAATGAAATCGAAGATCAAAGAGCAGTATATTTTGCCAATGCTTTGAAACAAATTTAGCTAGCTATTAATCTTCTTTTTGTTATTTTATCCTTCTTGTATTATTCGCCTAGACACTTATCACAATAGATCTATCTGATAACAAAATAGATGTCTAGAGGAACATACTAATTAAAGCGATACTCGAAATAGACACGAGATTGATATGAGACGCCTAATAGTTATAATGGTAAAGCGAGAGACACACAAAAGCAACATAACTTTTACTCAACAAATCAGTTCTTAGTTTTATATTGAACAAATATACAAGATGATTATTTATAAGCTATGGATTGTGGGTGTGGGTGTAGTGTGGTTGTGGATGCGAATGTTTCTTATCAACACCCATCCATTCACTCACATCCACCCACACCCCACACCCTATATTTACAATCTATCAATTTCTTCGACTTCCCACTACCGATATCAAAATATTGCCATAAAGTAATCGACTAGTCATTAAATGAAACTGAATGGTATTTTGTTATACCTTCTATTTTCATGTTTGGTAAAATATCTTTGAGCTCATCAACAGCAACAACTGATGTTTTACAACCAGTTAAATTGCCAAAAGATTCATCAAGTGCTTCTTTGATGGATTTTGCATTTATCAAGTTGAAATGTGGATGTGGGTATTAACTTGTTTTTCCGAACATCTATGTCCCACTCACGCACTCACACTTCACGCTTACACCCACATCCCACACTGACACTGACACTCACACCCTCACCCCCACCTGCACCTACACCACACACCCTTTTCTCTAAGAATAAGTTTATTGATTGTCATTCGAAGCGATGAAATTTAATCATAATACCATCAAATAAATAGATTAGTTGATTTCGATTTTAGATTATTGTTGATTCTTTGCACACGACTTTTCTCAAACAACTTAGTCTTTACCATCGTGAACTGAAAAAGAATCCAGCTTTATTGTGTCATGCAGAATCTGACGATCCTGTAATGAATATCACTCATTGGACTGGTTATATTGATGGACCAGAAGAAACACCATTTGTTGGTGGAAGATTTTATCTCAATATTGACTTTCCAGCAGCATTTCCATTCAAACCATCACATATTCGTTTTATTAGACCAATTTATCATCCAAATATTAGTACAAAATGTGAAATATATTTAGATATTCTTTATTCTCAATGGTCTCCAGTATTAAGTATTCGTGCTCTCTTAATATCATTATGTTCATTATTAATAGATCCCAATGTTGAATATGGATTGAATAGAAACGCGTTGAAGCTCTATCAAGTAGATAAGCAAAAATATGAAGAAATAGCAAGGGAATGAACAATAAAGCATGCTGCTAATCAATAAAGCCTCAAGTGATCGAGATTTTCTAAAATATCAATACGATTTCAGCGAACTGTTCGTTTTCTATATGAACAAGTTTTTCGATCATCGATATGATGACTCACGTTTTATTGAAAAGCATTTATTCAATTAACTTCCTCTTTTTGTTCAGTTGACTTCATACTTCAAAGCAGGAAAAGCTTTCATCATAGCAATAATCAAGAATTGTTTGCTTTTTTTCAATTAAAAATGTATTCTATTGATAAAATGTCTATCGAATTGTGGCAGAAAGAAATGAGAGGCAAGAATGATTCAATAGAAGAAGCAATATTATTTGATATGACCAGATTTGTGCATTTTCTTTACTGATGATGAACGTGATGCTAAGATCACATTTTTGATATGATCGAAATCTCAAAATTATTGAAAGTGATGATGAGAGAATTTTATTTTTTTCTCATTTTTACTTCAACCATTCATCTTTCTCTCAAGATAGTGCTTTGAAATGATTCATATGATATGGCTGATTTCCGAAGTCTCGGAAACCTTGAAAAATTATTACATCGAAGAGTTTGATGAGAGTCAAAGTTCTGCTTGACTTTGCATTATATCGAGTTTAGTTGTCATGTTTATTTCGAATTAAAATAACGACCTCGTTCTCGTTTGTTTCATCAATGATTGATCAGTTTCCAAGTATTTCTTTTTTTTGTCAGGATAGAGATTTCCAAGCTACCTAATGAGTCCCTTGAGCAAGGACGAAACTGGTAGTGGCCGCTTTCCTACACACCCTCATCCTTAAGATGTACGAATGGGTACATCTTCCCATCAATAATGATAGATTCCTTTGGCTTCATCGATCTGATGTAAGAAACCAGCGATTGAAGATTCGCCGCGCCACATCAATATATTGGATAATTCGAAACTTTTATAGAAAATCGAGAACGAATATCCGCTGAAATATTCGTGGAGTATTTTGACACTCTAGGATGTTGTTGTGGTGGGTATATTATCTTGTTTTCACTCACATTCATCCACACATTCACACTCCACACTCAGGGATTCAAAATCGAAAGTAAAGAAAAATATCAGAAGAAGAAAATTGTCTTTTCTTTTCAGTTCAAATCAATTTACGACTATCAAAATGTGAGAACATTTTCGAATTGTTCCATTATTCGATTTATAAATGTTCATCCCACTGAATAAACAATTGTTGTGACCCAAACATATGAGTCTTATAGAAACATTGAGTTCATTTTTTATTTATTCATCATCCAATAATTTATTATGACATTAAATTTCAAGCATTTTTGTTTTCAAATATTTCTGAACAACCAAAATGATTTCATTTCTGTAATTGTTTTCGTTCGAATAAAAATTAAAAGATGGTGTGGGTGTTACCCTTGTTCGACCTAAAGCCACCCATATCCACACACTCATAACTACTTTCCATACTCACATCCAAACCCATCCACACTGGGATTCGCGCCCACACTCCACACCCGCATCCTCACCCTAACTATTATAGCCTCTTTTAGATTCGATTCAGCTGTATAAAGTTACAACACTGCATCAGTACTTTAAGCGACTCTTATCTAAGAGTTACGCATTTCGCGCGATGAAACTAGTAAAGCGTTCTGCCAGAATGTCATATTTTGCAGCCCAGTCTTCAGAAGGCACACTATCGACATCGAATTGTTCGCCGATGACGATAGATATTTCGCTACAAGGAAGTAGTTGATGAAGTTTTTCACCAACCTCACGAGGATGAGTCTTATCATTTCCAGGAACGATAAACGTGGGTATGTGAAATGACCGAAGTTCATCTTCATCCGCGCCAAGGACGGGTTGATCGCTACCGTTAATGAAATAGCGACTCCAGTTTTGCATCACGGCAATGAAACGGGCAACATCCATCGACATCAGCCGTTCACGATTAATGGGTCGTGCCTCGATACACGCTGCGAAGTGATCGGTTTCACAAATTGCAGCCATGCCACCCTGTTCAGCGATTCTGATGTATTTACCGTAATAGTCTTCTGCCAACAGTGTGCAACCAAAAGAACCACCTGTGACACGCATGAGTAGCAGTGCATGAACTAGCCCGCGATGTTTGAGTGCCAGCACCAATGCCGTCCGAGCTCCCGACGATGAGCCACCAATGATTGCAGGAAATGCATCGAGCTGTTTCAATAATTCATAAAGGTCATCAGCCCAGATTTCATATTCGGGCTGATCGCCTTCGATTGCCACATCCGACGCACCGCAATTCCGCCTGTCATGCAGCAGCACCCGATAACCTGCACTGGCGATCTTCTCAGCGAGAGACTGGATTTCGTGTCCTGCTTTTCGACCACCCGGCATGAATGCAATCCACTGACCCGATTGACCAACCACGTTATAATGAAGGTGAACACCTCTCACATTCGCGATCGGCATGATTGATTTCTTCCTAAAACTTTCAATTGAAAAAATATACTTTACGTGAAAAAAAACTGCACAATGCGGTGTTTGAGTCAGCACACTTCACCGTTGTTTGTTTGTTTGCTTGCTTGCCAAACATGTGACGATAAGAAGTGTTTCTCTTTGCAATAGGTGTATGACGACTCACTGGTGTGTACCTCTATTTATTTTAACCGCAAGAATGTATCCTACGTTTCTAGAAGGGCACGAATGTAGATGTCAGTGGGTGTGGGTGTGGGTGTTGCTGTGTGTCTTCTCTTAATCAACACCCATACCCGCTCATGGAGAATTCTAGATATCTTATACCGGTTCTAAGATTTTTCGTTCAACGTAAATCCTAGTAAAAACTGGTACACTTTCATTTTTCGAGGACATCACATTTCGAATCAATAGCATTATAGTATATTCAGGCTCATTTTCCTTATCTTACCTGCCACCTACTGTAGATTATTATCGCTTATCATTTTTAGAAACTTGCTTTATTTGAATCTGATAAACTTGTTTGCTGCTTTTCTTTCTCTGCTTTAGCTGCCCGAAAGACTGAGAAGTTTCTTTTAGATAAATAACATTCAAAACCAAACCAAAATGGCAAATAAAGGTAGATGAAATGCTACTAAAGACAAAAATCAAACCGTATGTATACTTTTTTTCTAGATAGTCAACGTGACGAGGATAATAATAAATTGCCCAAAATTCTCAAAGAGATGAGGAATTTGATCATAGAACAAAGTAATCTATAGGCGTTGCTATATTCTCCTTTTCGATGCCTTTTCATAGATCTTCAATTTGATCAGGCCTCATATGATCATGGTCTGTTTATCTCAGATGAGGATACTCATCTGAGAAAGAATACTGAGGCAGATATTTGGTGCACATGTCAAACAATGGGTACAGGTTGGACAGGAGGTGTTCACTATTGGTCAATAAAACTGATAGATATCGGAAAAGATCGTCCTGTAACGCTTGGCATTGTATAATTGAGCTCCGATAAGAATTTACCCATACGTCCAGGATACGAGACTCGTAGTTATGGGTTGAGACTCGATGATGGACGTTGCGTTAACAGTTTAGATGTCTAAAGAGGACATCGATATTTTACAGTGGATGTAGGTGTGTGTAGGAATGAAAAGAGGATCCACATCTACTATCCTCTGTGATATGTTCTATTTCTACAGAGCGTGTATCTGTGATCTAGTTTATACTTATACAGCGATATGCCATGTTAGAGTTTTTCAAAAAAAATATTTCGTTTAGCACGGTTGCTTATACATAGGTATGTACCGATTTCAACCAATTTCAATTCCCATTCTTGGCTTGGAATTGACTAGAGTTTATTCGAATTAAAATTGACTAGAACTGGCCTGGAATTGACTGCGATTAACCTAGAACTAGTGAAAGGAAGTGAACGTGAGCGTGTTATCAGTGTAGGGTGTAGGGAAGGTGTACCTATGTGTGGGAGTATGTTTGTGTGCGGGTGTGGATGGTTGTGGGTATACGTGTGGGTGTGATTGGATGAGGTGAAGATGTGGGCGCGGGTGTTGGTGTGTGAGTTTGTTTGTGAACGTGTCGGCGTGACTGTTGTTGTATGTGTGGGTGTGGGTACGGATACAGGTGCGGTTGGGGGTAAATGTGTATGTAGGTGAGTAAGTGGGTGTGTGAAGATATTTTAACCAGCCACACGCACACTCCACCCATCTACAGCCACAACCACATTCACACACTCACACCCACCCATCCACATCCTCAAGGTTCGTCCTGAAGAAAAAAGAGAATTTTGCGGAAGTGGAAACTTTTCACCGTATCCTCATAAGGTAATCTTTTTCCTGGAGAGGGAAGACCGAGCCCTATTAGCCAGCTTCCAAAGAGAAAAAAAGAGACGTACACTAACAATAGCGAGAGAAAGTTGGATCTCATTTGTCAAGTCAAAATTCATGAACAGGCAAATGTCGATATAATTACTTTAGATGAATGCAGTAAGTATCAGATTCTCTTTCCTCCTTTTGTGTGCTTGATATTTTCATGTGTACACCGGCGCTGTATTTCTTTTTTTTCAAACAATAACCATTACATTAACCTGCATCCCATTGGTTTGTCACTATCGTGTAACAGCCATCCTTTCCTTCACTACAACAACAAATGAATTTACTTTGGAAAAGGCAGAGACAAGAGAGATTCTTGTTTGCTTTTATCGCTGCCTTTATTCAAAGTAAATTCATTTCTTTGTGTATTAAACGAGAGGATTGCTGCTCCACGACGACAGCAAACCAATGGAATGCATATTAATATAATGGTTCTTGTTCGAAAAAAGAAAAACGGAGCCACCGTTCAAGTGAAAGAATGAAACATACAAAAACAAGAAAGGGGATCCACTAATTACTGCACTCACCTAACATAACTGCATCGACATCTGCCTCTTCACGTTCTTTTAATTGACGAATAAGATCGAACTTTCTCTTACTCTTGTTATTATACGTCTCTTTTTTCTCTCCTTCTAGTTGCATTATTGCATACCTTTACTTTCACCTACCCTATACGAA